ACCCGAATGTCCATAATCAAACGACAGACGAGCCAGCGGTTGACGACGACAACAACGCAAACGAGAGAACCTCGCGCCCCTCCAAACACCACATCGGAACGGAACGGCAACAGGCGACCCAAGATGGCGGCTGGATCGACTACCCAGAATGCGCAGCCGCAGCTGCTGTTCGTGGACGGCACCTTCCCCGAGCTGGCCGGCGAGATGGCAGACTACCTCCACATCGCCGACGAGGTTAAGCCCCTGCTGGAGGACGAGTCCAAGAGGGATGAGGCCCTCGCCAAGCTTGTTCGCTCCTCCTCGGCTCTGACCTCTGTCCCCGAGAAGGAGTTCACCGCCGCGTCCAACCTCATGATCCACCTCGTCATGCAGTCCAACGAGCCCAAGAAGCACCTGCCCGCGCTGTGCCAGGCCTTCAGCAAGCCCATCGCCACGTCGCCCATCAACGGCGTCGGCCTGAGCCTCAACGCCTTGACGACCGTGTTCAACCTCATCGACCCCAAGAACCCCATTCGCTTCAACGTCTTTTCCGCCATTCTCAAGTTCCTCAAGGCACATGGCATGTTCGACACGATCGAGCCCTACCTCAAGCACATTCCCACCTGGTTCGATGACTGGAACACGGGCGAGGAGTACCAGCGGAACATGTATGTCGACATTTCTGAGGTTGCGGCCGAGGCAGGCCAGGACGGGTGAGTAGTTTCCCCTGTCCTCCTTTTTTTCTGGGGGTCCCTAACCGCGGTCCTTCGCACATCAGACAGAGCTACGAGTACCTTCTCAAAGCCCTGCGCACGTTCGATGCCGACGACAAGGAGGAGCTTGCCTCTGAGGAGGCTCAAGAGCTCTCCCTGCGCGCCGTCAAGGAGGCCCTCCTGTCGCCCACGCACCTCCTCTTCACCGATGTCCGCAGCATACCCAGTGTCCAGAACCTCAGCGAGACGCACCCCGTCTGGTCGCAGCTGCTCGACATTTTCGCCGAGCAAGACCTCGAGGACTACAACGACTTCAACGACGAGCACGAGGGCTTCG